TCTGCAAGGACTGATGATCAGAGCTGATGAAAAAACCGAACCCCTCATCACGCTGCTTCCTCTCTTGGAGATGAGGGTAAACGAGCAGTGGGTTTGGGGAGGTGAAAGATCTGTACTTTCTCAGGCTAAGCACGTGTATGCAGGCCTTTCTGCTGTTTGTGAGGCCTGGTTTGTACCATACCTCTGGAACAGCTGCGCTCTGCAGACACATGGCCAGCTTGTAACAGCACAGAGAAGCTTAGGCTGAAGCCTGGAGCATGTGGTGCCTGTGTGGATGAGGGGCATGCTCTGCTGCTGCTGGTGGAAGTGGTTACAGGTGGCAGGACTCAGCCGCAGGTTTGTGAAGAGCTCTGTGGTAGTGGGAATGCTCACCTACTGTTGGCTTCTTTGGCATCAGCAGCTTAATGCAGGCGGCAGCTGAAAATCTGCATTCTGCATCTTCACAGAGCTTCACTCTTCCTGATGCTTTGTTCTCCTGGTTCTGTCGCAGAAAAGGAAGTTACTTGCACTGACACTGGAAAAGCCGAAGAGGTGGTATTGGAAGAGGATGTGGAAGATGGCAGGCTGTAGCAGGAGGGCACAGCTGTGGGAATGGCAGAACCCCAATTTATGGGGAGGAAGAGGGAAAGTGTATGGCCATGTGCTGAATCCTAGCATGTGCAAGTGAGGTCTGAAATTATACTGTACAAAGAACCTCTATTCTCTTATTTCATAAAACATTACAGGCTTTGTAATTCTCTTATTTAATCTGTGTATGCATGTATGCATTCATAAAAACAATATCGCACTCGCTAAAGAATAATGTTCTTGTTTACTACTGTGATGAGAACTTGCAGGTGTGTCAATTGCAGCAGGAAGTTGTAAGTGAAACCTCAGAAGTTCCTTTTTTTTTCATTTGTTTGTTTTAATGGCGGTTGCTTTGTTTTCCTGTGTTATAAATCACAGCCCCAAAGTCTGTGAAGTCATCACTTTGCAGCCCATTTCCTCTTCTCTGGTGCTTCCTTCTGGTCTTGCAAATGTGTGGAGGGGAGGCCTGAAATTGTAGACCTAAATTCTCCTATCTAAGTCTTATTTATTAGATAAGAATAGACTGAAACTGCACTCCTATTACAGCATTCTTTCTATATCAAATCCAAAGTGAGATGATGAGAATGGGATGTCCACTGATAGCTTTGACCATCAGAAAAAGCTCTTCATATATTAAAAAAAAAAAAAAAAAAAGGCAGCCTGTTCATTTCAGTACCAAGTTTATGAGCCATTATTGGAGTTACATAGAAATAGTAAAATCATGTCAGAAGTGACAATTAGTTCTTCCTTCGCATGTGAAGTGTAGCACCTACCCTGAGTGCAGAGCTAATCCACTGGATTTGTAGAGATTAGGTTCTTGACTTTTTTTAAACAGGGATTTGAGCCTGTGCAGTGCCATATGGATGATAAATCCATTGTTACAAGCACAGAACGCAATTTAGGATGGTGCTAAGTACGCTGGCTGTGATCCAGCAATGCAGTTATGGGTGTATTTTACTTCAGAAGTGCTGTGGAATCCCATTGACTGGAATTTGGCAAGGAGTGGGAGCTCTGCAGACTGCCTGGTGGTGTGACAAAGGGCTGTCTGCTATCCCCAGGAACTTGGAACATGAATACCTCTCTGGGGTGTCATATCATTTATAAGGAAAAAAAATGAGACCGTTGGGGGAGGAAAAAAAAATAGTAGTATATCTGTAGAATAATTCAGGAGACTTTCTGAAAAGCAGTCCTCCAAAATAGTGAATATGCTAGTTCTGATTAGAAAGAGAGATTTTCTTAATCTCCTTCTTCCAAATGTTATCTTTTTTTTTTTTTTCCTTTCTTAAGGAATCTTTAGATTTAAGGGATGCTCAGCAGCTGCTTTTTCTTCTATACTAAATGCTGATTAATTTTTGGGTACATTTCTGCAGAGGAGGACTGGCTTACTACTACTCTTGGCTGTCTTTTTGCTGAGCCTTTGCAGCCTCATTTTTGACAAGGTGTTGGTATTTGCTTCTTAAAGGTGATGAGAATTAAGATATTATTGATTCATACAGTGTGCTGCTGAACAAAATACCAAAACACAGTGATGGAAGTACCTAATGCATGAGAAAACAGCTATGCCTGTACGTCTGCCCATGGAATCTCCCTTGAAGTAAAGTCTGTGCTTGTCTGTTAGGCCTTACTCCAGCAATGGGCCATATGTAGCAAATGATGTGGCCCTGCTGAGCACAAATTACATGGCTGCTTGCATCTTGGCTCATAAACTTGGATTTGTACAACTGGTTGCTTAACTTATTGGCATCTTTTGTCAAGACTGTAGCAAATTATGGTGCTTGTGCTCAGACTTTGTTTTTCCCCCTGAGTTCTGAGCCGATGTTCCAATTTTCCCATTGTGAGTGGTGTGGTTTTATTTGCCCACCAGTTGTCATTCACCATGTTACTTCCATTAGTGCAGCAGCGTATCGTTTGCATTTGGAAATGCACTTTTTGTGAGAGGAAGAGGAACAGTATTACGTTTTCATCTGGCAGTCCCTAATACTGTCAGTGCTATATTGGTGCACTTGCTATGTGAGAGGCTGTAAGTGTGCCCCAAGCAACTCCCAAAGAACAATCTCAAGAATAACTTTCTTTGTTGCTTGACTTACTTTACACAGGTAAGCTCAACAGCCATTTCTCTTTACCATGTGCTTTTAACAATAGAAGAGCTTGCATGTGATAATTACATCTGCAGTCCCTAGCATTCACTTACTCAGCTGATTAAAAGAAGTTGTGTATGTAGGTTGTACCTTATGGCTGACTTTTATGCAAGCCCCAAAGTGTGAATCCTCTGGTCCATTGAAATCTGCATCAGAACAAAGAGAGAAGCTGGTGATTCAGGTTGTCATTTTCACTTCTGTTTGAATGCTTTATATTCTGTGAGAGAGTAGAGTGTGGATAGGAGATGACATGGTTCTTGGGTTCATTACACAAGATGGAAATTCTACAGAATTATCTAAAGTTGTCAGACTAGTCAGGCCCAATATCAGATTACTTGCTGGCATAAAGACAACTAACCGGTGACAGATGAGTGTTTCTTTAATAGTAGAATAACAGAGAATATGCTGATCATGTCTTTTCTGTCTTTAATTTTGCGCTCTTTAGGTCAATTGCATGTAAGGAATGGTCTCAGAAGCAGAATTGTTCTGCCAGTGCAAGTGTTAGCAGCTTAGCTGTGGTGCTCTGTGGACACAGCTGTTTCAGTGAGACTTGGCAACAACTTCTCTAATGCCAACGAGGCAATATCTGTCTGCGCATCTTTGATGTGGGATGCTGTGTATTTGTGGGTATGAAGGTCTGTTCTGCTGTCAGCCTGGAAACAGCACAATATATTTTCCCTGTTTTTCTAGAAAGCAGATGTGAGATTGAAACATATCTTGTGAAATGAACCTCCTTGAAAGTGGACGGCGTGCTGACTGGCACCTGATGGAGTTCTTATGTCAGCCTTCACTTCGTTTAATAGAAACGAGTTTTGGTAAACAATTCACCCTTTAGTTTCTCTACTTGTCAGTTAGGCACACAGGCTTTTACCTTTGATCCTCGTTAGCTTCTCTTAAGGCTTGGTTAAGTACAAAAATGATAGTCTTGGCTTTGGTGCCCTCTCGTGGTGTAATGTATTGGCTGGCTACAGTTTTACAAGGGGATTAATATGAATAAGTATACTAAGTATTGTTACAGCTCCAAGTATCTTCGGGTAGCTTACGCCAAACCAAGCCACTCTTTATTTGCTTGGAATGAGCACTTCTGTGTGTGTCAGGTTTCTTGTCCAAGGATCTTCAGCTGCCTCTGTGTAACTGAAAGTACTCCTGTCCACATGCCAGTGACTAAGGACCTATTATAGGCAGAAGGTCTGGACACATGGGCAAAATGTGTTGTGTTTCAAGTCACTGGTTTACCTTGTGCTCTCCTGCCTCACCGGTACAGCTTGCTTCTACTTAAGAGGATCAGAAGTTAGATACAAGAAGGCTTTAGAGATAAATCAGACTCCTAAATATTTGTGATTTGTCTGTGTAGAAGTATAGTCTTTTGTACTTATGTATGTTTTTATCCTATGAACATCCAATCATTATCATCACTTAATAATTTCATTTTTTTATGCCTGATTGCGTACTATTGCAACTTCTTAACAATTTCATAACATGTTCACAATATCCTCTGTATGTGTGCATTGGATTTGCACACATAAACTGTGCTTTAAAGCAGACACTAGGAAATCAAGCTTATAACATCAATCACATCATCATAAAGGCAACACGTTTGTTTGCTTGAGTGTTTTCAGCATTTCAAAAGATTCACCTGATCAAATTCTTGGTTTTCTCACATTTCTTTCCATTGCTCACTTTGTGCCCCACAAAGGAACACGTTTGAGATCTGGAAGAAACCTATACTTGCACGTAGTGGACAGCATCCAGTTTGGGTCTTAAGTGCTATGCTTCCCAGATAAGTCAAGCAGCATCACCAGGACCTGCTCTGGAAAGACTCACTTGGACAGGGGAACAAACCTTTCTGTTCCCTCCCTCTCTCTCTCTCTGCAATAGTTGCTTTGAAACTTGGTTTTAAAATAGAATAAATCGTAAGTTGTGTTTCATATGCCAGATTTTGTTTATCTGGGGCCTTTTGGGAAGTGGTTGTAAAAGGTGGTGTGGGCAGAGTCTGTTAAGCTCTGGCTTAGTTGAGATTTCTTTTTGCAGTTTTTGAGGTAGGCAAATGCTAACTTCCTTGTGCAGTTTTGATTTGATAATTTCTGACACCAGAACTCTTTGTCTGAAGATAAAATAAGCCATACAACATGAAGTGGGATCACGCGCAAGTTACCAGCTGTGTTTAAGATAATGCAACACCAATGTCATTTCTGTGTGTCCAGATTATTTATGTTGGAATGAGTATTTTGTTTTTCCTTCTAGATTTTTATGAAACAATGTGTTACACTGGGTGTTTTTTTGTTTGTTTTGCAGCTTCCTTATTGTGCTGATATGCCTTATCTTCAGTGTGCTTTCTACAATTGAACAGTATGCAGCTCTTGCTACAGGGACGCTGTTTTGGATGGTATGTATTAATGTGATTGTGAGTTTGTTCTTAACATGTAAATCCTCATCTGAACTAATGTCATAGGCACAATGCTCTTTGTGTTTAGAAAGAAGCTTTTTTCTGCTTTTGGCTAATGAGTCTATAAAGCTCTAGAAAAAATTAAAAGTTATGATGGTACAAAAAAGCTACTCATATCCTACATAGCATATAATAAGGATGTTCAAATTGTGTCCAATCAAAGCTATTCTTAAATTAAACTTGAATCCCTCATATTGGTGGTGTGAATCCATTGTTCAGCCATGCTGAAGACCAGACACCTGAACATGGTTGGGGTCAGGGGTGTGAAGGGAATAGAGTAAGTGGAAGTCTCTTTAAGCAGAATTCAGATCCAGCCTTCTTTCACAGCTGGTAAGCTGGTATGCTTTCATTGACTTGAGAATTAAGCCAACTTGCTCTGCTTGTCCTATGCAGCTTCCTTTCAGCAATGAACATTTTGTTACTTTAGGTTTATGGTTCACTGAGGCTGCAGCAGGTATATATCAAGCTATGTTCTAAGAGTACTGCTGTCCTGCCTCTTCAGACTTCAGTCAAGAACCTTAGTTTTGAAGTCTGAGAGGCACATTTTTCATCACAGCAAAAATAAATAAATAAATAAACTTAATTTGTTTTACCTCAGTGATAATTGATGTATTCCCTAAATCATTAGTTTCTTTGTATTTGGCCATTATTTGACCATTATTTTATTCCTGAAAACACTATCACTGTATTGAGAAAATGTTAACCATCGATTTGTTTGTTCAAAATAGTTCTTGCAGCTGTGCACCAGTGATATCATCATTATGTATATCATTAACATGAAAACGTTCACTCAAAATATTGTTTCAAACTGTCAGTTCAATAACTGTGAAGTTTTTAATACTACATTTTGATTAATTTAAGAATAAGCATAGCATATGAGTGTTGATCACTTGTCTTTCTGTGGAATGTATCTTCGTACCTGCTATATTACTTATAATTAACTGGTAAATTGTTTGAATAGCTACGTTACAACTATGTAGCTAGTTAAAAGGAGTCTGTACTTGTATTTTTGCACCCAATATCTTATTTGGTTTATGGTTTATGGTTTTCTTTTTGTATGGATATAAGGTTCCCTTTTATCCACAAGTACTAGATACTGTCAATTTCTATGATCAATTTGAACTGTGATAATATCTCCTTGAAACATTCATTTTTTGTGATGTATGATGATACTTTCCTGCTCATGCTGTTGCTTCAGTGAAAGAACTTCTAGTGACAGCATAACCATTACGTTTTGTTTTTAGTGTTCTTTTTCCTTCACCCTTCACTTTTGATTTTGTGAATGAGATCATGGAAATCATTTTGTGTGTTCACAACGTATTCTTTTCCTAAAGGATTAACTATAGTGATTCTAAAGAGACTCAAATTGATTGCCAGTGATCCACTGATCCAAAGCAGTGGATGGGCCAGTGAGCTCTCTGCTCTATCCAGTTTTGGTGAGACTTTCAAAGGAGCTGTGGTACCTTCCTCAACAAAATTTAAGCCCCAGAATCTGGTTCCTATTAGCTTCTACCCAATAAAGTTTCTTATTCTATCCTTATTTTAAGGGTTTTTGTTTGTTTGTTTCAGTAATAGTCACAGAAGACATTATAACTAAATGAAAACAAGATCTAGAAGAGATGTTGAGATTGCGTGTATATACGAACACTTTTTAGTTCTTCAGTTTCATAGTATTAAAATGTTTTAAAATCATCTCCCACTACCAAAGGAGGAAATCTATTTTCAATAATTTATAAATCATTATTCATTAATTTCTGAGTATTTTAAAAACATTAATACTTTTTCATAACAGTAAGGGAGCCGAAGACTCCATTGGGAAGGTTTGTGTTCCTATCGGCGTCCCAGTTGCAGACAAAAAGCTCACAGTTAGCTATTGAATCTTTCTCTGCTTGTCACCACATTTCAGAAGGCAAAGAACCTTGATGAAAGCTATACCTAAATGCAGTTGTGATGGGAGAATAGGAGAGTACTGGGCTTTTGTTAGCTTCCAGAAGGCAGTGAAAACTGTTTAAATTAGCATGCGTTTATTTTATCGTTTTTCACTAGATGGTGCTGTTGGAGGGGTTTAACTGCAGTTACTTGTTGGCACTTGCCCAGCGAGAGCTGAGTCTGAGCCAAGACTCTGAAAGGATCATCATTTTGAAGGGTGTATGTATACTTGGCCCATTTTAAATAGTGGTGCGGGAGAGCTTTTGCCATGACTCATAAAGAGAACGTAGTATATCTGTGCAAAAATTGATTTTGAGACTACAATATTTAAACTATGGAAAAAAGTAATTCAGAGATGTATGTTCCCAGAGAGGCCATATTTTTCTTTTATTTTCATAAGCAAGGATTTTACGGTGCCAGAACACAGCAGAATGCTGTTATCTCAGCATGATCTAAGAAAATCCAAGTGCCTGATCCAAGGGGATTAAATATTCTGCTGAACGAAGGGATATTTAGTCTGCCTGAAAATGCTATTTTCTTGTAAGAATCTCATTTCAATATTGATTCCAAAAAAAAAAAAAAAAAAAAAAAGTGACTATGTTTTAGTGATGAAATTATAAGCACTTTCCAGCTTTTTGTTTTGAGTTCCTTTCCTACCTCAGAGTACTTTTTACTTGAAGAGATTAAGTATTTTTTAAATATTAAAAATGTCTTCAGAGGCAAAAAAAAAAAAAAAAAAAAAAAGGTAATATCTTCAGTGGTTAATATTTGTGTTATTAGCAGTGAAGGAATTTCCACAATTGTGAGAGAATGGCACAGAATTGAGGCTTATAAGAAATCCAGGTTTTATTTCTTGTTTTAATATAAGCTTTTATTTGAAGATGAGCCTTGGCTTTCTTTTTTCGTACTGGGTTGTTTTATGGGCCTTGAGAAAAATACCTACAGCTTTTGATTCTGAAGAACTCAGAGTTCAAATGGTTCATTGTGGTTCTAGCATTTTTTTTCTGATTATCCTCATGAAAGCCAAGACAGGGACTTGTAATCTGAGCATTGATAGTTGTTCTCATTTTCATTGCTCTGAAAAATTAAATGAGAGTAGTTTTGTAAAGGATTTCCCCATACTGTGCATTGCAGACTGCAGTCACTGATGTAGATGGTCTCTCTGAAGAGTACTGCACTTCTGAAAGCAAAAGACTTGGCAGCCTCAGCAATGTCCCCTGGCCCTGACCTACAACAAGGTCGACTGATGTAGCAGATGTGCATATGATGAACTCATGTCTTCAGACCTTTGCTTTTGTAGGACTTGCAAACAGACTTGTCCAGAGAATCACCTTTCTCTCACTCAATCGATAGCGGAAGTTTGAGAACACAACTATCATTTGAAATTGCCTTCTGTGCATTTTAGTTAGTCAAATGTGAGTGACTTGAAGGCTTAGGAAAGAATAGACATGAAAATCACCCTTTCCCCTTTTTCCTCTGAACCCCAGTATTACTGGCTGCTCTGTTTGTTTGTGCCTGAGTCATCCTGGTGGACGATGCAAGTGTTTTGTTGCATGATTGCAGTCATTTAGCCCTACTAGCAGCTAAACACCACAAGGCCTTTTGCTTTCTTCTCTACTCCTAGTGGTTTGGGGGAGAGAACTGTGGAAAAAAAGGTAGAATTCATAGGTTGAGATAAATAATATTTACCAAGACAGAAAAGGAAGAGAGAAGTAACAGTAATGATAATAATATATATGTATATTAACAAAACAAGTGATGCACAAATCAATTGCTCACCACCTGCCAACTGATGCCCAGCCAGTCCCTGAGCAACAGTAATACCCCTCAGCCAACTCCCCTCACTTTTATATATATATATTTTTTTCACATGATTTTGTACTGCATGGAATATCCCTTTGGTCAGTTTAGGCCAGCTGTCCTCTCCCAGCTTGTGTTCCTCCCAGTCCTCTTGCTGGCTGGATAGCACACAAAGCTGAAAAGCTGAAATGTCCTTGGCTGTAGATAGCACTGCTCGGCAACAGCTAAAACATCGGTGTGTTATCAACATTGTTTTTCTCCTAAAGCTAAAATATTGTATTACACCAGACGCTGTACAGAAAATCAGCTCTGTCCCAGTTGAAACCAGGGCAACAACCAGCTGGATTGGTTTGGATTGCTACTTGTGGTAACTTCTTCAATTGTTCCTGCTGTTCACAAAACGATGCCTTGTTAACTCCCCTGGTCCGTGCAGGAAAGTTGCAGATTTTATGTAAATGAGATGTTAAAGGCATTTAATTAATTTGGTTTGGAAGGCTGTGACCATTTTTTTAGTTGAGTTTAAATACAGCTTTATGTCCACCTTGGATCTGAGGGATCCAAACCAGAGTGCTTGTAAAGTGGGAAGAAGACAGTCTGTTAGATAGCTGAGCCAATGTAGTGAGATGAGCTTTAAAAAAAAAAAAAAAAAAAAAGGAAAAAAGGAAAAGAAAGTTTGTTAGTATTGTTTAGTGTAGCTGAAGTCTGAGGAGAATAAAAATGGCAGGAGGGAACGAAGAAGAAATATGAAAGGAAAGTGTGCAAAAAACAGTAAAGGAGGGATGAGAAGTTTTTCCTTTCATGTGTGCTGCAAGTCTAAGCTCTTAACGGTTGTAGAGGGGAGGCATAGCTTTCCCTTTAAAATCTGTAGAGGGCAGCATTGGACCGTGCTGTGTCCTATTTGAAGTGGCTGGGTTCAGACCTTGGATGGTGTCCTGAAGTAGGTAAAAATATCCTTTGGAAGAAGTGAGCTATTAATAAAGAGATGGCTTTTCACATGGATTTGGGGAACTTTATACGAGTAATAAAAAAAAAAAATTCTCCTGGGAGATAGGGGTTGAAGAGAAGGGCTGTGTAAATGTTGCTGCCAGAGACAACTCTCGCCACTTTGTGGCTGTAGCCACAGAGTTCATGTTGTTTGGCCTACCTGATTTCTCATCATGTGGATGGCTGTAAGGAACAATTAAAGCTTTCAGTGAGAGGAATTGGGCACATTCACATGAAGGAGAACGAAATAGATACTGAACTTCTAAACCTACTGAAAGATTTCCAATATGATTGTATCCTTCCAGCTATGTTCTTGCCATCACCTTAAATGTTTCCTTTTCAGTGGCGAAAAAAATCAGTTGGCTAAACTTTTCTACTGTTAACACTGAAAATTGATTTTAATATCTATATCGGATCATGGAATTGTTTGAACTGGAAGGGACTTTTAAAAGTCATCTAGTTTAACTCCCCTCCAATGAACAGGGATACTTACACTAGATCAGGTGCTCAGAACCCCGTCCAGCCTGACCTTGGGTGTCTTCAGGAGCAGGGCATCCACCACCCCTATCATAAACTACTGCTTTTCTTATATCCAATCTAAATCTCTTTTCTAGTTTGTAATCATTTTCCATTGTTCTGTTGATATAGACCTTGCTGAAAAATCTGTTCCCTTCTTTCTTATAGTACCCCCTTTAGATACTGAAAGGCCACTGTCAGGTGTCCTCAGACCCTTCTCTCATCCATGCTGAACAGCCCCTTCTCTCTCAGCCTGTCCTCGTAGGAGAGGTGTTCCATCCCTTGGATTATTTTTGTGGCCCTCCTCTGGATGTACTCCAACAGGTCCACATTTCTCTTCTACTGAAGACTCCGCATCTGGATGCAGTACTCCAGGTGAGGTCTCACCAGAGAAAAGGGGCAGGATCACCTCCCTCGACCTGCTGATGGTGCTTCTTTTGATGCAGCACAAGATACAGTCAGCTTTCTGGGCTGCAGGGGTACGTTGCTTGTTCACATCCGGCTTTCCATCCACCAGTACCCTCAAGTCCTTTTTGGCAGGTCTGTGCTCAGTCCTTTTGCACTCCAGCTTGGACTGATAATAGGGGTTACCACAACTTGGGTACAAGGCCTAGAACTTGACTTTGTTTAACCTCATTAGGTTCTTCTGGGCCATTTCTCACTGCTTAAGTTGGTCTAGGTCTTTCTGGATGGCATCCTGCCCCTTGGGTGCACTGACTGCACAGCTTGGTGTCATCTGCAGGCTTACAGACACAGCCTACCAGCATACCTATATTATATGGTGAATAAGCAGTAATTTTATAGAGAAGAAGGGTCTTCTACGTATATTGCAGACATGTACCAGCTTTGAATTCTTAATTTTAGTCTGCTACACTGGAGCTTGCATTTGATAAAGATAGGCTTGGATGCAGAAACTTAGTTATTTCCATTTCTGCCTTTTGTAAGAACTATGAAACCAATCTCTCTTCTTGGCCTTCTACACCTGGAGTTTTCTGTGACGGTGCATCAGAACAGTAATCTAGAGGAAAGCCTGCTTGTAAGTCGCTGTGAGTGAAGGAATCAGAATTTGACATTTATCTGCCTAACACACTGGCTATGAGATACCAGGCATTTTCTGGGACTCAAATTCTGAACTTGAAGTCAAACTCTGGAAAGTGTGACCCTTCTCAAGCTTGCCCTGGAGCTGGTGACAGATCACAGGCAGGAACAAAGCAATGGTGATGGATTGGAGCCATCTGCTGGTGGCTTGGTGGCCTACGTGGTCCCACGTGGAGGTCTCCCAGCCTAGAAGTACTGGCCAAAATATGAAATGAACCCAGTGCCAAATTATCTCTTTGGTCTGAGTAGGCCATCCCAGCTTTTCATATGTTATCTACAGTAGCCAATCATCAAAAAATATGCTTTTGTATTGTGTGTAGTGTTGAAAAATAGGGCGATACGTATTCCAGAATTGTTAGCAGTTCACCTGTTCCTCAAGAACTTGTGTTTACATTCATAAGTCAGATAGAATACCAATGTTCTGTTTATTTTTTTTAGTACAGCTGCACTCCAATAAATTCTGTTCAAAGTCTGTTTTATTCACTGTTAAATTTTGCGTTCACCTTTGTCAAGCCTTCTACTTGAAGGTTAAAGTTTGTCTAAGCCTTTCTGGGGTGTAAAGCCATGTCAAGCTCTGAGCGTTGGTTTGGTAACTCTAGAAGGAACATGATAAATGTTTTTCTTGAAATTATACACATTTAATATTTTAAACACATATTTGGTGCTTCAGCAAACAAGAAGATGAATGCAAATTCCATCTTGGAGAAAAAAAAAGAAAAAGAAAAAAAAAAAAGAAAACTGTGAAATGCTGGTGCATAGTAGAGCCAAGCAGTGAAAAGAAAGATTTTTAAATTTAGGATTTATCTGGATTAGTGTGTAAT